TTATGATCAACTGGATCAAATGCAGCAATGAGATCCAACAGGATCAGAGATCTGATCAACTACCTTTAAATGTTCTGCACTAAAAATAGGTTTGAACTGAAACTTATGTTATTTGATTAAAATCTTTCTGATTCTTTGTTTTTGATGGAGAAATCAAAAGAAATTTTAATTTCAGACAAGACTGAATCAGATTCCCATAGCTTGCATAGGACCTTTTTATTTGGGATTATTTTGGCATATCAATCAATATGCATCAATGAACTGTGGTGAATTGAACCTCATATCTTTTCTTCCTGACTTTAAATTTCCTTCATTAACTTACCTGCAGACTATTTTATGAATCGCTCAGGTCAGCCTGCCATGAAAAATATGGTTAAAGTTCAACTTTGGATCCTTAAATTCTGTCCTTTGAATCAGAGGCGAACAATCAATGAACCACTCAGCATCTTTTCTAGCAGGAATACAGACGGACGCAGCTTGTACGTTTCACACATTTTATTGGACATGTTCTCAGATATCAGTCATTTGGCAACAATAACGAACTGAAACTCAAAGCATTCATACAACCAAGAAAATAACATTAGTAAGAAGAAGACTGTTGGGTCCATGTTGGCTTTTTATAATCAGTCAAATGTGTTTCGGTTTCCTCACCACTAATCAACACAATCTAATATAAGAACATCCTAAATAAACTGAGACAGAAAAGGTATTTTGGTTTAAACTAAACTAGCAAACTAGTCTCTGGGCTGTGAGCAAATGTAGAACATTTCAGGGTAGAGCTGCTGCAGCGTCATTGGTGAAGCGCATTACTCACTGTCTGTGTGGATCGAAATGGAAAATAACTATCAGGCTCATCGCTTTGAGTTGCATTGAGACCATTTATAAAATTTAAAAAAACATGGCCGATAGAGGAGCATTTGTTTCCTGGAAGTTTACGAGAAAAAAAAGAAAAGTGCGGCATGCTTCTGCAGGGATCCATGATTCGGTTACAACAAGGAAACTCAAGTTCTCAGAATATCACACTAAAGCAACAGTAATCCGGACCAAAGGGGGAAGACTTTATCTAAACGCTTAATGAGGTGAAGTTCTGATGCAAACAAATCCTCTCTGATAGCAATAATCAGTTCTTTCTAAATAAATAAACAAATGACATCATATAAATAATGTCTGTCATACATATTTTATCATCTCACACATTTTAATATGTTTTACTGGGATTTTATTTGATGGACAGAAATAAAGGCAATACTTGCAAAAAGGAAAACAAGTTTTCATTTTTAAAATTAATAACGATGTAAATTTAATATGTGGTGCTTTTCAGGCTACAGTTTGCTGGTTCTATTTCCTGCTTCAAGGATTAAAAGCATATATTTTTTACTAACTGAAAAGGATGCATTATCCCATCTATATTTTATATATGAATACAGTTTTAACTGAAGGCCTTCCTGTTAGCTCTGACTTTATGTGTAGGAATGAAGGTTGATCATTTCATATCTATGCCTGGATAGGAGTCCAGCTCTGCGCAGTCATGGCTGCAGCAGGAGCCGCAGGAGATGTTTAAAAAAGCCAATAAACTTTTAGAAGTAGAATCATACGTAGCTTTGACCGATTGTTACGGCCCCTGGCCTTTTGTTACGGCCCCTGGCCTTTTGTTACGGCCCCTGACCGATTGTTACGGCCTCTGGCCTTTTGTTACGGCCCCTGGCCTTTTGTTACGGCCCCTGACCGATTGTTACGGCCTCTGGCCTTTTGTTACG